CGGGCTCTCAGAGAGGGACGGAGGAATTGAACTCAGGTCAGCCGTGTGCAAGGCAAATGCCCTACCCGCTGTGCAATAGCTCCAGCCAAAAAGACAATAAATAAATAAAAAGAAAAGAAAAAAAAAAACCCGAATAGGAAAAGTCCTAGAAGCTAGTCTCAGGGGCTCCCCCTAGAGGATTCTGCTTTTAGAAACACCTCCTGGTTCTCACTCTGAGGAGCGCAAAAACCTGCTGATTTGGGGGTTTGGGGTGAGGGAGGGAAAGCTGCCCCTTTTGCTGTTGTTGTTTGTTTTGTCTTGGGGCCATACCAAGCAGTTCTCAGGAACTCCTGAGCTTAGTCACTCCTGGGATTCCTGGAGAACCATCGGGGGTGCCAGGGATCCCAGCCAGGTGAGCTGCGTGGACGACAAGGGCCTCACCACTGTACTCTCCAGCCCACCAGGCCCACTTGGATCTAATAAGACTTTCAAACACCTCCTGTCCACACTTCCTCAAACAGCTTCCACAGATACTTAGTAACTTTCTCCTGTTTGAGCACCAGGCTTCCGTGGGGGGAGAGGGTGTCTTCTAGACTCAGCCTGTTCCGCTTAACTGCGCTTAATAGTTCCTGACTGTTCCTCTTGTCAGGAGCCCCATTTTTTCTGGTTGCTTGTCCTCTCAGTATTGGCTTGGATCTTTTTTCAAAGCTTGTTTTTCAGCAATAAGATGTTTGGGACGGGGTGGGGAATGTGGCTCGGTGGTAAATGAAGCACATGTCTTGCATGCATGAGGCCCTGGGTTCAATCCCCAGCACCCCACACAAGACCCGCGTCTCAGGCCACCTGGTCCCTGAGAAGTATAATTAGCTCCCCTCAAAGCCTCGTGTCGGAGGCCCAGCTTGGCCATGAGTGGACAGTCGCCCTCGATCTCCATCTGCAAGGATTAAGCAGGAGAACACTATTGGTCACCAGGGAAACAGCCCCGGACAGCACATTCTAAACCTCATACAGACATCTCCGTTTTATGTCATCACTAAGTCTTTCTTACTGAGTTCTAAAAGCTGACCTATTTACTGGAGCTGCTATTTACCGGAAAAAATGTGCTATGCTTTTTGGTAATAAAAAAAGCAGTGAGCTGATGGCCACTTGATGTGGATCAACCTCATAACCTTGCCCAGTGAGAGGACACAAGTGTCCTGCCGCGTGATTCGTTTTCAGTGGAATATCCAGAAAAGGAAATGTGCAGACACAAAGCAGTTCAGTGACACCTGGGCCTGGAGCGGGTGGGAGCGTTTGGGAAAGACAGAGGTCAGGTGTGGGGAAGAATGGTAGAAAGTAATCATTACGGGCTAGAGTGATGGTCCAGCACATGGGGTGTGCCTCCCGCATCCCATCTACTCCCCCGGCGGGCCCCGCCAGGAGTCAGCCCTGAGCACTGCTGGGCATGGCCCCCAAACCGAAATTAATCATTACATTTATAAAAATGGGTGAATTTTAGAACCTAGTTCAGTCTCCGGCCCCTCATGCGGTCTCCTGAATTCCCGAGCACTGCTGGATGTGGCGCCAAAGTATTATGGATTACGTATATTCAAAAAGTTGTTGGAAAAAGTTCAGCTTTTTTTTTTCATTTTTTAATAATTTTATTTATTGAATCGTCATGGGGCTGGAGCAATAGCACAGTGGTAGGGCGTTTGCCTTGCGCACAGCCAAAATGGCTGACCTGAGTTCGATTCCTCCGCCCCTCTCAAAGAGCTCAGCAAGCTAGAGTATCTCGCCCACACGGCAAAGTCTGGCAAGCTCCCCGTGATGTATTCAGTATGCCAAACACAGTAACAACAAGTCTCACGATGGAGACGTTACTAGGCCCGCTTGAGCACAATCGATGAACAACGGGAGGACAGGACAGGACAGGAATCGCCGTGAGAGCAGTTACAAAGCTTTTGGGTTTAAGTCTCGGTCATACAATGAAACACCCGTACCTTCACCAGTGCCCATTCTCCACCACCAAAAATCCCAGTATACCTCCAACCCACACCCTCCCCCTACCTGTGGGGCAGACGATTTCCACATTACTCTCTCTCTACTTTGATTACATTCAATATTTTGACACCAGACCCACCATTATTATTTGGGATTTTACCCCAACACTCAGATCTGCTGAAAAGGCAACAGTAGACAATTTGTTTTCTATTCCTGGTTATGAATAACATATGATGTCGCATGGCTGCAGTAGTGGCCGTGTGATTTTGAAATTCCGAAATTTTAACGATTAAATCTGGAGGGATTTCTGCCAAAACCTGCTGGGTTCCAAGATTTGTTCCTGAGTCTCTTGGATCATGGTCGTTAAGCAGCTTGATCAGGAGCCAGAGAGGCCATTTGTGGGTGACGACTTGGGGTCTCGTTGGGGTGGGGAGGAAAGGGCCAGCTCCACCCCCATCCCTGAGGCCCTGCGTGTCTCATCGCTGAGGCCCAAACCTGACTGCCCAATGTCCTCTTGAGGATGGCAGCCACCGAGCCGACTAGGGGGAGCAGTTGGAAGGACAGCACCCTTTCCCCCCTGGAATGGCCCGGCAACAGTAACCTACTGTGGGGTCCGGACGCATTTCTGCCAAAAGCCACTGGGTTCTGAGATTTGTTTCTGAGTCTCTGGGATTATGGCCGTTAAGCAGCTTGATCAGGAGCCAGAGAGAATGTTCGTGGGTGGCAACTCGGGGTCTTGTTGGGGTGGGGAGGAAAGGGCCGGCTCCATCCCCATCCCATGAGGCCCCACGTGTCTCATCACTGCGGGCCCAAACCTGACTGTCCAGTGGCCTCTGGTGGATGGTTGCCACCGAGCTGCCAAGGGGGAGCAGGTGGAGGGACAGCACCCTTTCCCCCCTGGGGTGGCCCGGCGACAGTAACCTACTGAGTGGTCCGGACGCATTTCTGCCAAAAGCCGCTGGGTTTCAAGATTTGTTTCTGAGTCTCTGGGATCATGGCCATTAAACAACTTGATCAGAAGCCAGAGAGGTCGTTTGTGGGCGGTGACTCGGGGTCTTGTTGGGACGGGAAGGAAAGGGCCGGCTCCACCCCCATCCCGTGAAGCCCCATGTATCTCGTCAGTGGGCCAAACCTGACTGTCCAGTGGCCTCTGGTGGATGGCAGCCACCGGGCCGCCAGGGGGAACAGGCCAAGGCATACAACTAATTCCCCCCTGGGCTGGTCCAGTGCCTGTAACTTACTGCAGGGACTGGACGCATTTCTGCCAAAAGCCGTTGGGTTTCGAGATTTGTTTCTGAGTCTCTGGAATCATGGCCATTAAGCAGTTCAATCAGGAACCAGAGAGGCCATGCCTCCAATTATATAGCTGAGCCGGAGGTGATTTGTGGGTGTGTCTCCCACATAACTATCTTTTGGCCGTTTATTTTCTTGGTAAACTTTGCCCCAAGTTGTTGGGGTCTGGCCAAAGGCACAGCAGCAATTTGGGGGTATCTGGAAGTCTGAAGGCGCCTTCAGGCTGCTGTTGCACTCGCCTCACAGGTACAGATTGACCTGCTGGCGGCACCATACCCCCAAGTTCAGCTTTTCTTGGGCCAGAGAAATAACTCAAGGGCTGCTTGTGAGCTTTGCCTGTGAGAGGCTGGGGTCAGACACCCAGCACCAAGTGGTCTCAAACACCACTGGATGTGGCCCCCCAGCACAGACCTGGGGTGGGGTGCCCTGAGCACCACTGGGTGTGTGGCCCCCAAACAAAAAGAGAAAATCCGTTAAACCCATCTTCCAACTTCTTGTCCAGTGCCCCTTGTCTGTAGGTTCCCAAGAGTGCCTGACGCTGTAGGCAGGTCCAAACCCTATGCAGTTTCTTTTCCTATACTGGGTGGTTTATGAGCTGGGCACAGTAACATAAATAAATAAATAAAAAATAATAAATTCACAATTCAAATGGAGCAGTGAAGAGAATGTAATGAAAGTAACGCGAATGTCTGTCTCCGCATAGCTCATCAGGTGAGGGAGGCTGGTGAGAGCAAAGGGGGCAGGTGGGGTGGGGAGACGGATGCTCTAAGGATCAAGCACGGCCCTGCGATCCCATCCACAGCTCTGCACAGTGCTCTGAGCACCACAGGGAGTCGTCTCCCCCCTCCCCCACACACACAGAGGAACAAAAGTGAAATTGTGGCTGTGGGGTAGCTGCTAGACCTTAATTGGTTATATTGATCCAAGATCTTTGCATTATCTTGTGACTGAAAAAAAGTAAGGCCCTCCCGTTGATCGTCGATTTGCTCGAGTGGGCCCAGTAACGTCTCCATTGGAGACTTTGTTGTTACTGTGTTTGGCATATTGAATACTCTCGGAGAGGGCAGAGGAATCGAACTCGGGTCAGCCATGTTGGTCGCTTGTAAGGCAAACGCCCTGCCGCTGTGCTATCGCTCCTATATTCTACCTAGAATAATTTTTCTTTTAGGTTCTCAGTGCTGGGAATGGAATTCAAGGCCTCAGACTTGGGAAGCGTCTGCTGTTACTCAGCCACACCCCCAACCCCGAAACCTAAACTGCAGTTTGGAGATTTTTCCTGCTCACAAATGACATTATTTTTAATTTTGTCTTTTGGGCCACACCCAGAGGTGCTCAGGGGTTACTCCTGGTGGTTCTCAGGGTACCATATGCAATGTCAAGGATCGAGCCAGGATTGGCCACGTGCAAGGCAAACGCCCTCCCCACCGTGCTCTGGCTCTGACCCCCAAATGGCCTTGCTGTCACAGCCCTCTCGTGTTCAGACCTGAGCGCTTATTGCTGCTACTTCCCACACAGCTGCCTCTGGTTTCTGCGATGCTTCTGTTAGCCTTCCTGTATGACCAGAGAGGGCCCGGGAACGCTGGGGATGGTTTCCTGCCAGGCCTCGCGTGGCATGTGCAGGCTTGCTCACCAGCTAGTCCGCCCCCAGCCAGCCAGAATCAGCTCAGTGGCCCCTTTCCTGGCCCTTGCAGGCGTTAGTTTTATTTGAAACCAATAAAACGGCATGTTTTATTTGAAAATACTGAATTTAATAGAAAATGCCACATTGTAAACAAGTCCACTGATCCATGAGCTTAGCAACAACAGCACAATCACGTACAAGAGTATGAGGTGAAAAGTGGGCCCTCGACAGGCCCTGAATGGCCTGAGTCAGGCTCTGAGGGTCCTTCCCCAGCAGTGTCACAGAGCACAGGGACAGTGCGGGAGGCGGCCACGCTCCCCAAGGGATGAAGGTGGCAGGGACAGAGCCACACGGGGGATGGGGACTCGGGTTCCATTTCCTGACGTTCTGGGGACCTCACCCCTTGCCACGTGAACCTGAGAGGGAGAGGGCAGGCAGGGGGGAGGAGAGGAATGTGGCCCTCAGCCACCACTCCATGGGGCTGCCTGCAGGGCGTGTCCCCTTGCCGACACAGCCCTGATGTGGGTCGCAGCCTCATTAATGAGTATGTGACTAAGCCCTTGGAACAAAACACGGGCCTGGGGAAGGGGGGATGGGAGCGGATTTCTGCCTTGCTCCCAGTGCTGGAGACATCTTCAGGGAGTGGAGTTTGACGTGCCTGGGCCCCTAGACAACCAGTCCCCATCCGCCCAATTCCTCCCCCAAAGGATTTCTCCAAGTTCATGGAAAAGTCAACTGAGGGGAAAAAAAAAACCAAAACACCACCAAAATGGGCGCAAAAGTTGGGGTGGGGGCTGGAGGTACTGCCTGCTTATGCTTAGGCACTGCCAGAGTTTGGGCCTGAATTTCGAACAGCCAGCCTCATCCTAGCTGTCAACTCGCAAAAGGCTTTGTCCCAGAACCATGAGCCTCTGATCTCGGACTGAGAACAGAGCCCGGGAGGACAGGGCTTCCTGACTGAGTGGACGGTACCCGGCAGACAAACAAGCCAGAAACGCTCCTCTGGGAGAGACCTCGAAGTCAGCACGTTTGTCCAGAGTTTTTTTGTGTTTTTTTTTGTTTGTTTGTTTGTTTTTGATTGAGAGTCAGTCATAAAAATCATTCTCCCTGTAGCTAAACTCTGCTGAGGCTCCGGGCCTTAGAGCCACAGGCAAGTTCACCCTTTGCAGGGACCATAATGGATTAGAGAAGTACAAATTTGTCCTCTTTAAGACGATTTCTGGGGGTCCCAGTGAGGCACTCGGCCCTGGCATAAGCACGGGCTAATCACTGTATGGCTTCTTCGGCTGGTTTTTCTCGGTTTCCTTCTCTTTGATACTGTACAGGGGGTCGACCAACTTGTTATGAACAAGCATTAACCCTGGAGAAGAATAAGAAGCAGTTAAAGCAATTCCACAGGTAATGGCAAAAGTCAAGTCTTGTAGTACTCAGTTTTTAGATTTTATCAAGTTGAGAAGTGCTCAGATTTTAGATTTTGCTCTAGAAATGGAGCGATAGCACAGCGGGTAGGGCGTTCGCCTTACACGCGGCCAACATGGCCGACCCGAGTTCGATTCCTCCGCCCCTCTCGGAGAGCCCGGCAAGCTACCGAGAGTATTCGATATGCCAGACACAGTAACAACAAAGTCTCCAATGGAGACGTTACTGGGCCCGCTCGAGCAAATCAAAGATCAACGGGAGGGCTCTAGAAATGAAACACTTCTGTCTTTTCTCTGCTGTCCTCAAGCAATAAACACCTGAAGAATGGGAAGAAGAACTGGTATTCCCAATACATGCCACAATCTATGGAATGTTTTTGTAAATTCTTTCTCTAGGAGAATTGACTATATATATAAAAAAAAAAAAAACTCATTCTTGGGGGCAGGAGAGTAAGCACTGTTAGGAGTGATTCCTGAGCACTGAGAGCTAGAAATAAGTCCTGAGCACTTCCCACCAAGGTTCTTTTTTTTTTTTTTTTTTTAAGCAAGGAACAAAAGTACACGAGAATTTTCTTAAAGCAGCATGCATTCTTTTTTAAAAGTTTGGTTTTCAGGCCATACCCAGCAGTGGCTCAGGGATCACTCCTGGTGGGGCTCAGGGGACCATATGGGGGTAGCATTCAAATCTGGGTTGGCCACATGCAAGGCAAGTGTCTCTTCTCTTCTATCTCCCTGGAGGCCTCCACCTTTGGGGCCACCCTCAGTGGTGCACAGAGCTTACTCCTGGCTCTGCACTCAGGGATCACTCCGTATGAATGTCAGGGATCGAACCCAGGCCGGCTGTATGCAAGGCAAGCGCCCTACCTGCTGTATTATCTCTCCAGTCCCTCTGCCTTCTCAGACTTTAGCCTTCTATCTTGACCGCTGACCCTCTTTCCCCCACATCCTTTTTATTTATTTTTTTGTTTGTTTTTTTGCTTTTGGGGTCACACCCGGCGATGCACAGGGGTAGTTACTCCTGGTTCTGCACTCAGGAATTACTCCTGGCGGTGCTCGAGGGACCATATGGGATACTGGGAGTTGAACCCAAGTTGGCCGTGTGCAAGGCAAACGCCCTTCCCGCTGTGCTATTGCTCCACCAACCCCCCTCCCCCGCCCACATCCTTTTTAAATGGACTTAAATTGGTTGGAAAGAGGCACCTGCTGCCCAGCAACACCGCGGAAGGGAAAACGCCTTCGACAGCAGTTTCTCTGTCATTTCGTACCCTCAGACTGGGGCTGGACGTGGCCCTTGGCAGCAGTGGAAGAGGGACCTGCGGGTGGGCTGACTTGGCCGTGAGCAGGAGTTTGTGGCCACACATCCCAGTGCCACTCACCTTTGAAGTACTTGACGGTCTTCACTCGCAGCTCCAGCGTGGCTTCCTCGTCGCACACGAACACGGTGCGGGGGTGCTGCTGGAAGGCCGACACTGTCCACATGTGGCTCACCCCCTCCTCGATGGCCTTGTACAACGCAAAGGCTTTGTGGGCGCCGGTGATGAGGATCATCACCTGGAACAGGAAGCGGCACTGAGGGAGGAGCAGCCATGGCCTGGGTGGTGCGGGACCCCCCAGCTCCAGTCTCCCCTCTTCCCGCCCCCCAAACCAAACATGTGTCAGGCCTGTGTGCAGGGAGGCCCAGGGTGTCCCGCTGCCCAGCTCCACACCTGGTGTGCGTGCGGGGGGCGGGAGCAACAGCGAGACCTTCCAGTTCCCTGGCAGAGTTGGGTCTTGGGGTAAGGGGCAGAACCACGGTCAGGGCTCTCATCCACCCAGTGTGTGACCCTGACGGTGACAGAGGGACCTGCCAGAAGTGGCCCCACCTCTTCCCCCACAGCTTCGACCTGGGGTCCCAGGGCAGCCGGGTCTCCACAGTGACAGCAGGAAAGAGGGACTGTCCTGGTCTGCAGCCCCTGCAAGGGCACAGTCATCTGTGAGGCCTAGCGAGGCCTCAATCCACAGCGTTAGACCATCTGTGACTTGCGGGGCGCGGGCTAAGGTTTTTTGCTAATTTTTGTTCACTTGTATGTTTTGGGGTCACACCCGGCGATGCTCAGGGCTTACTCCAGGCTCTGTGCTCAGGGATCACTCCTGGTGGGGCTCAGGGGGCCACATGGAGTGCTGAGGCTCGAACCCAAGCTGACGGCATGCAAGGCAAGTGCCCTACCTGTCTGGCCACAAAGGTTTTTTTCTGTTAAGACAAAAGCATAGACTATCCTCGGCACTTAGACTATCAAAACAGAAGTGTAGGAAAGTGAATATAAAAAATTTAGCCCCAAAGATTTTCTTTCACTGTGATTCATATTCCTAACCAAGGAGTGTGTATGTTGGGGGTGGAGTAGCACAGGATTTCCTGTTTCTTTCTTGAAAGACTAGAAGTAAGACACATTTAGAGAATGTGGCGCTTTGATCACGATCCCAGAACACAGTTTCCTGGTTCCCAGTGCCAGATCCTATCCCAGATCCAGACACCCTGATTTCGGCTGGGGGGCCTCCAGTCCTGATCTGAGGTCCATCAGGAATCAGGGTGTCTTTATTACAACGTTCTCTCTGCAGAGGGAACCTCTTCATGCATTTCCAGTGAACTGTTTTCTCACTGGAAACCAAATTGTCTATGGTCGCTTCCAACAGAATACACCCCAGAAAGGAGAACATGCGTCCAAAATCCAAAATAAAAGGAAATTCAAACCACACACCCACAAAAAGTGAAACAAAAACATTCACGTTTTTGAGGGGAAAAAACTCACTAAATTCAGTTCATAACTCTTCTGCACATTTCTGTGTCTCTGGGCCCAGGGCGGCCAGTGCAGATGGGGAAGCAGTTGGCCCTGCCCGTCCCCTCTGCTGGGTGGCGCTGAGCTCTGCTCACCATGAGAAGCCTCAAGGGGTGCGGTGAGGGCCGCCGAGAAAGTCAAACAGGAAAGAGGAACTGAGGCATGGTCACTTGGGGTTCCAACCCAACTGATGACACCTTCATTTTTAACATGAGTCACCCTGTAAAGATCCAAAAACAGCCTGGCCAGCCTTCCCCGAGGCGGCCCTGGGCCCCACGTGCCCTTACCTCCCTGGCATCCATGACGGTGCCTACGCCCACTGTCAGGGCCATGGTGGGCACCTGGGTGAGGTCTCCCTTGAAGAACCTGGCATTGGCCAGGATGGTGTCCATGGCGAGTGTTTTCACACGGGTCCGGGACACCAGGCTGGAGCCTGGCTCGTTGAAGGCAATGTGCCCATCGGGGCCGATGCCTGCGGAGACAGAGCCGGTGCCCGTCAGCCCCTGCCCGCAAGCTCCCTCCCTCACCCCCGGCAAGTTCATCCTACGCACATGAGCGTCCTCCAGCTCCACCGTTTAACAAGTGACTTATCCTCTCCTCCGCCAAGTCGGGGGGCTTGGGGAGAGGATGCAGAAGAACTAAAGCGTTCCTGGAGCCCTGGCTTTGAGCCCTGTACTACAGGGTCCTCCTGAATGCATTTCTCCCCCCCGCCCCCCCCAAAACATAAGATTAACATAAAGCACACGTAAGAATTAATCCAAGTAGTTGTGGTCTTCCCAGATCATTAAACTGTGACTTCTCACTCTGACACATAGCTGTCAAACTTCATAGGCCCATGAGTCACCAATGGGAACTATAAGAGGGCACCCCCAGGGCAGGAGGGAACACAGACCTGAGAGGGGCACCCAAGCCTTCCCTCTCTCTCTGCCTCCACATGTCGCCGCTAGCCCTGGCCTGCTGGCCTTGGGCGAGTTGCAAAATTTCTCTGGGCTGCAACCATCTGTCCACAGTGTCTAGTAGCTGAGTGTGGCATCTGCTGGTGCTACAGGAGCCTGTGATTGCTCAGTGATGACATAAAGTCACTGAACTGTCAAAATTGGGGACCAGGGCACTGTATTTCCAAGTTCCAGTCAGCATCTCCCAGTCAATAGAAATGGGCCTGGGTGCAGGAGGCACAGAGGTGCCAGGACAGGGAACCGCCCGGCAGCACCCGCCGACCCATTCCTGCACCCCCGTAACCCATTCCCGCACCCCCGCGGCCTAGTGCTGCCTGCACTCACCTCCAACAAAAAGCTCGATGCCGCCCGCCGCCCGGATCTTCTCCTCGAAGGCGTCGCACTCAGCCTGCAGGTCAGGCGCATTCCCGTCCAGGATGTGTGTGTTTTCTGGCTGGATGTCAATGTGCTTGAAGAAGTTGTTCCACATGAAGGAGTGGTAACTCTCCTCGTGGTCTCGGGGAAGGCCTGCGGGGTGTGTGCAAACACCACTAAGCCGGGGCTGGAACAGGGCGCCTCCCCTCCCCCACCCCCGCCTCCAGATGCTCTTCTCGGGGACATGGGCAGCAGTGTTTTGACCCTAACCCCTCAGGACAGACCGAGTGTGGGGACCGCCACCGCTGCCATGACCACCACCTTCCCCTGGCTCTGGCCTTCCGACCCTGGTGAGAGACTGCAGGCCAGGGTGCCCCTAGAGCGGCCTAGTCACCCACAGATGGGGCTGGGCCCATCTGGGAAGAAGCACCCCCCCCTTTGCTGCGCCCCCATCCCACCCCATCTGCCTGAACCCCAAACTGGTTGCAGCACATGATCTCCCGGCTTTCCAAAAGGGGATTTTAGGTTAGCCAAGAGGAAGAACTCCTCCCAGAAATGGTCAGAGTAAAAGTTGAGGAAATGCGGGTATGCTACGACCAGTGAGCCCTGAAGGACATGATGTTAAGGGAAATAAGTCGGTGATGAGAAGTCTCAGCTGTAGGAGCCCGCCTACATGAGGCGGCCAGTGGGTGCCACTCAGAGAGAGAGCACCAAAGTGGCAGGGGATGGAAGCATGGAGGGGGGGGGCGGGGCGCGGGTGTCTACTGGGGAGGGTTTCAGCTTTACAGGGTGAAGTCCCAGAGGCTGGTTGTGAATGTACTACTGAACTGCACAAGTGAAAGGGTTACTGCAGTATATGCAGTTTTAATGATGTATGTACCAGTTCTTCCAAACAAAGAGTACTTAAAGTGAACTCATTAAAAATGACAACAGAGGAGGAGAATGATTGTACAGCGGGCAAGGCGTTTGCCTTGCACGGAGCTGATCTGGGTTCAATCCCTGGCATCCCATATGATCTCCTGAGCCAGGAGAGATTCCTGAGTGCAGAGCCAAGAGTAGTCCCTGAGCATCACTAGGTGTGAACCCAAAACAAAAAACTAAAAAAAGGAAAAAAAAAAAGACCAGGTAGGCCAGAACACTAGTACTGTGGGTAGGGCGCTTGCCTTGCATGGGGCTGACCTGGGTTTTATCCAAGCATCCCACATGGTTCCCCCTAACCTAGTCAGGAGTGATCCTGAGCTTTACTCAACCCATTATACAGAGTAAAGTGAGGCCTGGAAGGGGACAGTGGGGGCACCGACAGATGCTGAGTCCAAAATCACGGAGGCTGCTGGGCGCAGTGTCGCCTTATGACTCGGGCAGACCCCCTCACCCCCCCACCCCCCGCAAGAGACTCACCCACATACTCGTCCATGTTGAAGGTCTTCACATACTTGAAAGACAGATCTCCGTTCTTGTAGTACTCAATGAGCTTCTTGTAGCAGCCGAGTGGGGTACTCCCTGCAAGACAGCCCATAGCTTTCAGCCGCCCCCCCTCCCCCCACACTGGACTCAACTCCTGGCAGCCCAGGGACACCCAGGAAGCAGTCAGCTCTGAGCCCACAGTGCTCTTGCGATGCTCTGCTTCTTAGCTGCCACCCGTGAACTGTTCGCTCCATGCCACCATCCCCTCGCGGCCCCTGGACAGGAGGGCACAGCTGGTGGCTGCGGTGCCTCAGCTCCTGATGGCGGGAGGGCTGCAATCTGCACTGCAAGCCCGTCTCCACAGACAGGAAGGTCCCCGGGCAGCTACTGTGTCTGTGTGTGTGTGGGGAGGGGGTGGGGGGGAGACACTTGCTGTCTATTGGGGACTCGAAGCAGCAGCAGCATCTGAGCCGATGGGGTCAGTGGGGAGGGTCTGGGGGAGGGTGTCCCATGGTGCAGGAAACAGCCTCATTATAGTCAATGGCTTTTCTTTTTAGGTCACACCTGGTGATGCTCCTGGCTCTGCACTCAGGAATTATTCTCGGCAGTGCTCAGAGGACATAAGAGATGCTGGAGATTGGACCTGGGTTGGCCACGTGCAAGGCAAACACCCTCCCAGCTGTACTATCGCTCTGGCCCCATAAAAACATTTTAAAAAGCAGGAGGCCCTGGAGAGGTAGTACAGCGGGAAAGGTGCTGGTCTTGCATGCCGCTCCCCTCAGTTTATTTATTTTTTTTTGGCTTTTTGGGTTGCACCTGGCGATGCACTCAGGAATTACCCCTGGCGGTGCTCAGGGGACCATATGGGATGCTGGGAATCGAACCCGGGTCGGCCGCATGCAAGGCAAATGCCCTACCCACTGTGCTATCACTCCAGCCCCAGCTCCCCTCAGTTTAATCCCTGGCGTTCCCAGGGGTCCCTCCTGAGCATAGCTCCTGAGCACCACTGGGTGTGAGTTCCCCAAAATAAAGGAAAAGCAAAGGAACTTCTGTAGACTGAAAGACTAAACATGCACAGTGTCTGACTGGAAACTGGATTTTTTTTTAATCTATAAAAAAACGAATGTGGACAACTAGAGGAAAATTCAATATAGCCTGTATTAGATGATATTGTGAGCTGATTTTCCCTTGTCTTGGGCATGACAATGGCATCATATTTAAGGGAAGGTCTTTAGGGAATTATTTGCTGAGGATTTATTATTGTCAAGAGGCTTATAAAAAGTGTGTGTGTGTGTGTGTGTGTGTGTGTGTGTGTGTGTACACACAGGTGATCAGAAGCGAAAGCAAATATAGCAAAATATTAACAACTGTTGAATCTAAGTAGATGGTACCATATTACTTCAGTTTTTCTGTGTATTTGAATTTTTTTTTTAAACTCAAAAGATGGGGGCCAGAACGATAAGACAGTATGGCGAGTAGGGCATTTGCCTTGCACGTGGCTGGCCTCGGACTTATCTCTGGCATCCCAAATGGTCCTCTGAGTCCACCAGGAGAAATTCCTGAGTTGCAGAGCCAGGAGTAAACCCTGAGCCATCACCAGGTGTGACCCAAAAACAAACAAATCAAAAGATAGGAATCTTTTCAAAAGCCTACCCAGGAGCCTTCTCCAGGAGATAGTACAGCAGCTAGGTCACATGCCGTGCATGTGGCTGGCCTGGGCTCAATCCCCAGTACCACACAACCTCCCTGTCCCCCCCTCCCCCGCCCCAAGTGTCACTGGCTCCTGCGCACCCTCCCCACCCCCACCACGGCCCCAAAGAAACAACACTACTGAAATGAAAGCATGCATGGGGGGGGTGGGGGCAGTGCTTAGAAGCTAATCTCATGTAGGAAACCATCCGTCCCACATGCATGCAAAGCAGGTGCTCCAGCCTTCTGCACCATCTTCCCCATCCTTAGATCTCTTTAACAGCCCACAAAGGGCTTCGCAGTGCAGTGCAAGTCCCAGCCAATAAAGGTGTTAACAGCCTGGTCGCTGACTACCATCCTCCCCTTATTCCTCCTGTTCCAGGAGTTCTACCTCAGGGCCTTTGCACCTTCTGTTTTTTAGGAGTCTGCATAGTTTTTACCTCTTTGGGACTTTAATGTCACTTCTTCAGAGGGACATTTCCTTACTACCACACCCAACACAGCACTCCTCAGCCCTGCCTAGCTGCTCGCTTCCCTCCTTCCCTCCTCTCCCCTCTTCTTCCCGTCCAATATAGTCTGTGTGCTTCTCGTTGATTCCGCTATGGTGGAGGCTTTTGGAAAGCAGGAACTGTTGTCTTTTGAGTTCATTGCCATATGCCCAGAACCTAGAACAATTTGGCCTCAAAGAGGCACCTCATAAACATCTGCTGCATGACTGGTAGTGGCAGACATCCCTACCCTACTCCACCAATAAGCAGTTGGTCCCTTGACAAAGCCTTAGCTGGGCCTGAGCATAAAATGTGCCTGTCTGGGCCAGGGAGACGGCTGGAGGGGTCAGCACGCATGCTGTGTGCTGCCAATCCAGTCCACTCGTTGGACCACATGGTCCCCCAAATACTGTGCTGGGATTAGCCCCTCACACCGCCAGGTGCGGCCCCCAGACAAAAAAAAGAAAGGTCCTCAAACTTCATCTTGCCCATTTTCTAAAGCCCTAGCCTTCCCATCAATTGTATCTTGCCAGCATATTCTTTTCCTGTATTTATTTATTTATTTATTTATTGCCTTTTGGGTCACACCCAGCGATACACAGGGATTACTCCTGGCTCTGCACTCAGGAATTATTCCTGGCAGTGCTCGGGGCACCATATGGGATGCTGGGAATCGAACCTGGGTTGGCCGCATACACAGCAAATGCCCTACCTGCTGTGCTATCGCTCCAGGCCATTGTTTTTATTTTTTAATTTGTTCTGTTTTGTTTTGCTTTGCTCTGGGGGGTCACACCCAACGGTTCTCAGTGGTAACTCCTAGCTCTGTGCTCTAGGGATCACTCCTGGTGGTGTTCAGGGGTCTGTATGGGATACCGGGGATTGAACAGGGAAGGGCCGTATGCAAGGCAAACGCCCAAGTACCATGGCTCCACCCCATCTTTTAGCCCGAGTGAGTTGTATGGCTTCTGCTCAGGTCCTGTTTGGTGCTATGTTAAGAGAAGGATGTGAGCGGAAGGTCTGAGGGTGCCCTGTGTGTTACTAGGAGGAGTTGGGGTCAGATTCCACAGATGCTGGGTGGAAGTTTCAGCAGAAGCCCAGAAGGCCCCAGGTGGAGGGAGGCTGAGTCACTTCAGTTCAAAAACAGGATGTCAGTGTGACCTCTAGCTGGCCACGGAAAAGGTGGTTTCATAGGGACACGCAGAAACTGCTCCCACAAAATCCCCGCTGCGGAGGTGACGGCCTCCAGCCACAACTAAACCCAGCCTGCAGCCTGCTCTACAGTGCTGGTGGTTTTTAAGTTGTTGGGGTTTGTTTTTAAAAGCAACTTTAGGGATCAAACCCAGGGCCTCATGCATGTGCGCCATCTGCTTGCCCCTGAGCCACATCCCCTATTTCTCTGTAGCACTGCACTGTCCTCCCGTTGTTCATCGATTTGCTCGAGCAGACCCAGTAATGTCTCCATTGTGAGACTTGTTGTTACTGTGTTTGGCATATCGAATACGTCACAGATAGCTTGCCAGGCTTTGCCATGCGGGCAAGATACTCTCAGTAGCTTGCCGAGCTCTCCGAGAGGGGCCCTATTTCTCATGTTTGTAAACATTAAATCTGTACTGCAAAAAAAAAAATATATATATATATATACACACACATATATATTTACACATATATATTCAAATCTCAGAAGTGTTCATAAATAATGTCTTTTTAGCACACCGCCATGTTCCTTTATTCGTGTACCTAACTTATGGCTATTTTTCTGGCTACAAGTGTTAAGTAGTTGCAGCATAATCAGTGAAGTATAAAATATTTTACCTGGGGCCAGTGGGTAAAGCTCACACCTTGCATGCAGATGACCTGGGTTCAATCCCCAGCAACCCATATCATTCCGAGCCCAATCAGGACTGATCCCCAAGAGACGGGCCAGGAGTAAGCCCAGAGCACTGCCAGGTATGGCCCCCAAACAAAACAAAACAAAAAAAACTAAAACCAACAAAACTACTCTTTGATCACGAACTGAAAAAGGGGTAGCTCTGCTTTGTATGTGTGAGGGTCTGGGTTTGATCCCTGGCACAGCAGAAAAGCAGACAAAGGGCTGGAGCAATAGCACATCGGGTAGGGCGTTTGCCTTGCTCGCGGTTGACCGGGGTTTGATTCCCAGCATCCCATATGGACCCCTGAGCACCATCAGGGGGTAATTCCTGAGTGCAGAGCAAGGAGTACCCTTGTGCATTGCCAGGTATGACCCAAAAAGCAAAAATAAATAAACAAACAAATGTTTGTGCTAAAGCCTTAGGATTTAATTCTGTGAAGGAAGCCTGGTAGACAGATCTGGCTGAGGACGGAGGTGAACAGTCAGCTGCAAAGTCTTCCAGGCTAATGCAAATCCTGGCTCTAGCCTCCCTTCCCAGCCAGCTGCAACTAAACCCACCCGTCAGGGAAGCTGGGCCCTGCTTTCTGGGGACCTGGACTACAGGAGAGGGGTTCACACACAGCACTGGTACCTCTGAGGCCCTTCTGAGTGAGTCATCTGAAGCCCCCCACCCCTCCAATGCCCACCCAGTCACCCCATCCCAGCACGCACCGGTGGGAAGGCCTAGGGTGAAGTACTTGTCGGGCCCCGGGTTAAACTGGATGATGCGGTTTCGGATGTACTTGGCGGCCCACTCGCTGGCCTGGGAATAGTGATCCAGGATGATGAGCTTCATCTTGTCCTGCAGGGTGGGTGAGAAAAGGTATGGGGGGGGTGCAGGCAGGAGGTCAAGAAAAGGGGTGTGTATGTGTTAAGATTGAGAAGCCAGGAGTGAGGGGTGCATGTGGTGGGGGTTTGCAGGAGAGAAACCCAGGTGGGGGGGGGCCTGGACCCCCCCCCACCAGCCTGGCTGCGGGAGGGGGGTGGAGGGGGGGGCTGGGGCTGAGCTGGAAGTTTCAGTTCCCAGGAAACTGTTCCTTTAGGAGGCGGGACTGCCCAGCAGGCTGGCCTAGCCTGTTCCTCCCTGCACCAAGGGCAGGGTCAAAGGGCTCATTCTCTGGTGGGCCAAAGTGGGGTGTCAGGACCTGCCCGTCCACTTCCAAGGTGCAGAATACGGGCAAGCTACAAAGTGACCCACAGGTTGGCCAGTGCCGCGTAAGCCCCGGGCCCGGCCCCACTTCCCTGGCTCTGCTGGACCTGCTCTAACCCGGGACCCCCTAACTAAGCAGCGGGGGATCACTGGGGGTCGGGGGCCAGCAGAGCCACGGGAGGTGCCCAAGGCGTTGCGTTTAGAGGCGTCGTGGGCGCTGGAAGGGGAGGGGTGCGCCCCCACCGATCTGGGGGCTCCTGAGTTCTTGGGAGACCCAAAGTACCGGGGGTCGCTAACGGTAATGGCTCCCAAGCCCGACAGCTGTCCCCAGCCACCTCCCTCCGCCCCCCCTCCCACCCCCGGCATCGCGACCAGCCGCGGTGGTCGCCCCTCGGGTGCACGAGCGTTTGTCTCACCCCGACGTGAGTCCTGCGGCCGCGCCTGCACGAGGGATCCAAGCGGCTGCCTGGGGTCTCGGCCCCCTAGGATGCTGCAACACGGCCTGGCCCCCCGCTCCCCTCTTATCCCGCGGCGGCGGCGGCGGCGGCAGGCCCCGCCCCGCGCTCACGTGACGGCGAATCACGCGGCTCAGCCGGACTCTGCCCGCCCGGGAGGGGCCCGGGAGCTGCGGCCCCGAGCCTAGATAAGCGGGTGGAGTGAGGGGTGTGTGGCTTCCTTAGGCTCACTCTGCTTTGAGTCTCTTTTCAATTTATTTTTCTAAGCTAATAATTGCATTTATTTAATCTAGCTAATACCACTATTTTGGCTTGGGGGGAGGGGGGTTGCTTGATTTTGGGGGAGGAGGGCACACCCAGCGAAGCTCAGAAATTCTTCCTGGCACTGCACTTAGGAATTATTCTTGGAGGTGCTCTGGGCGACCGTATGGGATGCTGGGGATCCCATGCTGGGTGGGCCCACTGCAAGGCAGGTGCTCTACTTGCTGTACTAATGCTTGGGCCCCGCTAATATCGCTTTTTGTTAGGAATATAATTGGAAGTTTTTCTTTACTTTTCAAAAGAAGTATCAATTGGGTAACCTTTCAGTATCAATATTGCAAGCCACAATGTCCAAAGTGGGGAGGGAGGTGGAGGGAGAGAGAGAGAGAAGAAAAGCACCTGTCATAGAGGCAGGCAGGGGATGGGGAGTGATGGGAGGGAACCTGGGGACACTGGTGCTGGGAAATGTACATTGGTGGAGGGATGGGTGTTGGAATACTGTATGACTGAAACCTAATTGTGAATGGCTTTGTAAGGGTCTATCTCACAGTAATTCAATTAAAAAGTAAAAAATAAAATAAATATCAAAGGGGGCTGAAGTGATAGGACAGTGGGTAGGGCGCTTGTCTTGCACAAGCTTGACCTCGGCTCAATGCCCAGCACCCCAGATGGTCCCCTGAATCTGCTCTGGAGTAATGCATAAGCACAGAGCCAGGAGTAAATCTTGAGCACAGAGCAGGATGTGGCCCAAACAAATAGAAAATAGCAACTTTGGCTAGAGTTATAGCTTAAAAAATAAGAGTGGTTCCTGGTTTTCCCAAGGCAAGTATTGCTGACGGTTTAGATAACAATCAAAATTGGTTTCTCTTGAACCTCTTGCGTTACCGTTTTTGCAATAACGGGGATGCCACACCAGTGTCCCAGACCCTTTACAGCTTGCATCTGGAGGGCCACCCTGCAGCTCCTCCCTGGAAGCCATGTGGTGGGTCTTTGATAATGGGTTAGAACTAAACTAGAATCCAAACCCGTCTTTATTTTTCAAGGCACTTTACTTCCTTTTTAGCTTCAAGATTGATGTAGTTTAAAAAGTTAAAAAAAAAAATGGAGGCCTGAGTGATGCTAGCACAGCAGATAGGGCATTTGCCTTGTATAAGGCAGACCCAGGTTCAATTCCCGGCATCCCATATGGTCCCCCAAGCATCACCAGCTGTTATTCCTGAGTTCAAACCCAGGAGTAACCCCTGAGCATTGCCAGGAGTAGCCCAAATCCACCCCTACGGGAAAAAAAAAAGGAAAAAAGGGAAAAAGGGGGAGGAGTAAAAAATTTAAAAATGCTTGAAACATTGGAACATTGTATGACTGAAACCAGATCATGAAAACTTCGTGACTGTGTATCTCACAGTGATTCAATGAATAGCACTGTCCTTCCATTGTTCATGGATTTGACCCAGTGGGTACCAGTAACATCTCCACTGTGAGACTTGTTGTTACTAATTTTGGCATATTGAATAGCCAGGGGAGCTTGCCAGGCTCTGCGTGTGAATGGGATACTCTCAGTAGCTTGCCGGGCTCTCTGAGAGGATCGGAGGAATCGAACCCGGGTCAGCCGCATGCAAGGCAAACTGCCTGCTGTGTTATCGCTCCAGCCCAATTCAATAAATAAATAAATAAATAAATAAAAACCAAAATTTAGTTAGAAAATCTGAGCCTGTGGCTGGAGCGATAGCACAGCGGGTACATGTGGCTGACCCGGGTTCGATTTCCAGTATCCCATATGGTCCCCCGAGCACCGCCATGAATAATTCCTGAGTGCCAGGAGTAACCCCTGTGCATCACTAGGTGTGACCCAAAAAGAAAAAAAAAAGAAAAAGAAAATCTGAGCCCAAGGAAGGCCTATGCTTCCCAGTGAAGTTCAGACCAAGTTCCACACATCTAATGGGGCGTCAGTAGCAGCTGCAATCAAACCTTTCCAGTGGGTCACTTCCTGTGCCTGGGTTGGTTTTGGGTTTCCCATCCTGTTTCACTTTAGCCTAATCAGAAAGACCAGCATTTGTAGTAGGGTCTAGCTTGTTCTTTACTTTTTTAAACTTTTTGCAACTTTGCCTGCTCATTCTCCCCAAAATTAAAAATACTCTCTGGGGGGGTAGATGAAGGGGCTGTGAGCAGATTTTGTATACAGGAGACCTTCATTTCATTCCTGATACTGCATGGACACACACACACACACACACACACACACAGCCCCCTCAGCAAGGTCAGACTGGCCTGAGGTTTATAGTTTGGAATCTGCGACAACCTCTCCAGGAGAAGCCACGGAGTTACATTCTTTTGGCTTTGATTGGACGGAGATAAAGCCTTCAGCATACTCTGTATGATCAGGTCCCCTGGCCAGACAATACTGGAGAACAGACTCCTCAGCGACCTATAGTTACCTTTCTCCCATTATCACACTCCATATACTCCCCTCATGGCATTTCCCTACCATTTTCTGTACACTTGATGTACAGCTAGCGTCCGTTCTTCAAACTGCACATGACAGAGATTCCTTCTCATGAATATTTATAAGTTCCTTTGGAAAGCCAATAAATATGCTTAGACTTGTTCAACCTAACTCTACTGGACATAAAATCAGACCTTCTCCCTTCTTCTTCCTTCTTTGAATCTTATTTTACAGCTTATGCTGGTTAAACACACTTCCTAAGTGAAGTTATCTTCTTGTCAATAGAAAACCTATTTTCCTTCTTTTGTTTCTGTGCTGTACTTTGTGTGTGTGTGTGTGTGTGTGTGTGTGTGTGTGTGTCTGTTGCGTAGATCGTATCCAGGCCTCACGCAAGCCAGGTCTTCTATCATTCAGCCACATTCCTGGTCCTCTATCTCATATTTTTTTTTTTTTTAAATTTTTGCCACGATAGCACAGCAGTAGGGTATCTGCCTTGCAAGCCGCCAGCCCGGCTGAGCTGGGTTTGATTCCTCCGCCCCTCTCAGAGAGCCTGACAAGCTACCGAGAGCATTTCGCCCGCAGCAAAGCCTGGCAAGCTACCCGTGACCTATTCAATATGCCAAACACAGTAACAACAAGTCTCACAATGGAAACGTTACTGGGCCCACTCGAGCAAATCGATGAACACTGGGAGGGCAGTGCTACAGTGCTAATTTTTGCCACATGCAGTGGTGCTCAAAGGTTAGTTCTGGCTCTGCACTCAGAAATAACTCCTGAATGCTTTGGGTGGTGGTGGTGTGTGTGTGGGGTGGGGGGAGAACCTTATGGGATGCCAGGGATCAAACAAGGATTGGCTATGCAAGGCAAGCACCTTGCATAATGTGTTATCTCTGCAGCCCCTCTGTCTCCTAGTCTTGAGTAAGTGACTCAGGCACATGACTAAACTTTTCCGGTCTTTAGTCTTTGTGTCTGGATGAAATATGAAGTATCAGTCTAGTTTGGCATTTCCAATAGCTTTGATCATCCCTCTGTGCCTTACAGCCCACTCTAACCCTAAAATTCTTTCTGCTCTAACCTCCCTTCTGCACCCCACTCCTCCCACTGTGTGCCTAGAGTGAACCCCCCCCCCCCAATCTTTCTGTGTAGTTGGCTAATTAATGGAATGGTGAGTTCGTTCAGACATGGGACAGTACCTCTGGTGCACTTGGCTGCTTTTGGACTCTCATACACCTGCTTCAGGTGAATACTCTGGCCCCAGATCCGAAACACCAACTCAGGCCATAGGATTTAAGGGCATTTGAGGGCTCTGTCTTACTCTAAAACTAATTAGGGACCTTCATAGCCCTCAGTGGTTGAAGACTGACTAGGCAGACACGGAAGCTACTGACCTATAGAAGCTTCAGAGTAGGACCAGAGCAATAGCACAGCAGGAAAGGCGCTTGCCTTGCATGCAACCGACCCGAGTTTGATCCCCGGCATCTTGTATGGTCCCCTGAACCCATCAGGAGTGATTTCTGAGTGCAGGGCCAGGAGTAACCCTGAGCACTGCTGGGTGTGGCACCCAAACAAAACAAAATAAAACAGCAACTGCTCTCCTAGCTTCCCTCAACCAGGGAGCCACACCCACAGGGAATTCAGACAGCCCAGTTCTGACCAGTGAAGAACAGGATTAAGGGAGGACACAGTGAGGGACATGAGAAACAAATTCTTTCTTGCTTTCCTTCGGGCCATGCAGGAGCCGTGGTTCTTGGAGAAGGCAATCCTTATCATAAGGACCTACTATGATAGAACTCAAGTTCTAGGTTCTTGACCTTGTGCTTCTGGACTTCTTCCAAGAAAATAATAAACACCTTTGGACTTAAACTGTAAGCCAGGGTTAGGACTTTTCTATGGGAGCTGGAGGATAGTACAGCAGGTAGGGCATTTGCTTTGCATGAAGCTGACCTGGGTTCGATCCCCAGCATCCCATATGGTCCCCTGAGCCCTGCCAGCAGTAATTCCTGAGTGCAGAATCAGGAGTAAGGCCTGAGTATCACCAGGTATGAACCTAAAATGGGGAAAAAAAGTTTTCTTTGGTCTAAACTTGAAGACTGACTACATGTTAGCTGAGTCAGTCTTCCTCAAGCTTATGCTGGTATTTTGCAGAAATAACATATTCAAGACTCATGTCTTTGGTAACAAATGCCACGAAAACTTAGAGCTTCCCAGGAGCAAAGTTGAAGCAAGAGCAAAGAGATACAGGACTTTTCGGATAACATTTAGCTGCAGAGCTCTCGCCGCGCCTGACACCGAACATGCATTGTTGGGTTTAAGGTTGGATGAAGGAATGAGTGGATATGTAAAACATCTGTTCCTTTGAGCATA